TATAAGTAATAACATTTTTACAAAAGTAAGACTTCCGTTTGATTTCTGAACAGAGGCAGATATGATTGATCGCCGTCTCATCTCCTACACTTTCATCTTTACTGACACTTTCGTCGAAGATGCTACTCATCATACCTGTTTATTTCATAGTTTCTTATGCCTTTGAACAAACATATGATCCAGTTCCTTTATTGTCGACCTCTGTGTTATTTACATCGTACTCTCGTATAGACTTCTTGACTATATTATTGTTTGAAATTTAGACCCGAATGTAGAAAGAAGGAGGAAGAAATGCGAGGCTTCAAAGCTTTCCTAATAATCACAAAGGTAAGCTTTTTAGATGAGCTTTACAAAAAAAATTAGGTGCTCTAGCCTGGAGTTTGGGCTGAGTGAAAATACCAATAAGAAGAAAAAATTTTCTGATTTAACTCAGCAAATTTACTTTTAAAAAAAGAACGAATTTCTCATGAATTAACTCAGCAAAATTTCTGAAAAAAAGGACTGCATCTTCCAACGTAGAAAAAACTTGGTCTTGGCTTAAAGGAAAAAAATTAATCGAGAATACTGAATCTGCTGGTTTTTTTTGCAATCAAATGGCTTATAAAATTTAGAAAAAATCATGTGAATCTTAATCTTTGCGCGACACAATGATCGATTGCGAACAGATTTGAAGTAAAAATAAATGCCTCATCCAAGTTGAAAAAAACACTGAGATCGTTCGATAAAAAAGATATATTTGCACACAACATCTTTCATAAGCTATCAATTTATCGTTTCACTAACAATTTTTCCTGTTTCATGTAGCACTTATAACTAAAATGGGGAGGGTACTTTGCTTATGGTGCGTTGGTAGACTGTATGATCTCCTGGATAATTACTTAGCGTAAGAAATAACTACTAGTCTTTACATAAATCCCCTCGATTTTCCCGCACGTTTTTTTTTCATTTCTGGTTATTTTTGATGGATGTATGTGTATTATGAAAGCGCTTTTCCTGCTCTTCAAAATCCCACTCATCGCCTCTTCAAGTACTTTATTTTGTTCGAATATACGAGCTGAGAAATGGAATAATGCGTCTGCAAAAAAGAGCACGACAGCTTGGTTTGCATCCATAATTTGCTGCAATTTTTGGGATCATTTCGGCAGCATTTGGTTTGAACTGCTAACAGTAAGTCGACAATTGGCCATTGTTTAAGGCCTGTTTCCATTTTCCCAAAATTTGTATCACTGCGTCATGATTCCATGAGCCACATCTTGAGGAATTTTTTGAGCAGTTATGAGAACCGTCTTCGCCACACTTCTCATGTGGTTGAAATTAACCGGAAAAGAGGAAAATTGTTTCAAAATAAAACTGGAAGTTAAACAAGAGTTAAATTAATTACAAAGTTCCCCACTGAATCCGGAAACATATCGAGTTCCGAAGTGATTGCAAGCGCCAAAATTACTATTATTGAACCATTTTTCCGTAGTACGACAAAGCGGGATCTTTTCCTTAAGCAGAACAGATACGACCCATTCGTTAATTTTGGCTCCATTGAAAACAAAAAGTAATAGGTGTCAAGAATGCTGTTTCTTGCCGATGTTCCATCTTGCAGCTCAAAAATTCAAGCTTTTTAAAAATTGATAAAAACAATGAACGAGCGCTTCAAAACAAAGGAAGGCCTTTTAGAATATGGGTATGATTCGCTAGAAATCCGAAATTTGCTAAGAATAACGTGTCGGAAATATTACGGGAATTTAAACAATGACGATGTGTTACAATACGTGTTTACGGACTATCATAACGCTGTCTGGCAATGATCAAAAATCTATTTGTGGTGATGTCTGTGCGAAAAATATCAGACGAAACACTGCTGATATATAAAATTTTCAAAAAAAAACCGCTATTTGGCTGGAGACGGGGGAATGAACTTAACTTATACTATGTCTCTCGAAATCTTTCAAAATAACATCAGGTCATGAAATTAGTGAATTATCAGTACTAGTATTTATTTTAGCAAAGTGATTTATTGGTATTATTAATTTCGCGTATTTATGCGCAAAAAGCACATCTTTAAGAAAGTGATGAAATTGAAAAATTGCTTAGACTATCAAATGAAAAAAATCTGCAAAAGTATTCAATTTTCATTGAAACTAGCAAAACAATAATCACCTCAGCAGACTACCCTATCACCTACGTCCTCACCTATAGATCTCACTAAGAGTTTTCTTTTTTGTCAATTCCCAGAACTATCTAGGGAAAAAGCATTTACTAGAAGTTTGTAGAGGAAAATAGGTTTTTAACAAAATGCGAGAATGTTCCAAAAAATTTCAACGAGCAAATCAACAAGTATAATTCCAGTCGCTTGATTTGGCGTTTATGCTTGGTGTGCTATTACTGGTCTACATTATCGAATCCGTTGCATTCTACCCATTTCTTGCCTTTGCCTTCATTGAAGTCCTGATACTCTCCGTTGCCGTACTTCACGGTCGGACACCTAGCCTTGGTAAGGAGTTGGTTTGTGTTAAGTTGTCCAAAAGTGTCTATGTTAATGGCTTACAGGTGTCCTGCTAATTTATATCGCTCTGGAGATTGGTAAAGCTTTGGCAGCAATCACGCTT